TTTGTGGGTTGGGGGCCACAGACACAGAGAAAGAAAAAAAAAATCAGTCAGGGGCCGCGCACAAGTGAGAAGGAAGAAAAAACCCACCAAACACTCACTCCCCACATTCTTCTTGCACACCAGAGTCTTTAGGGCGTCCCAGGCTAGTAGATTTTATGTGTGCACACACTCCAATCCCATGGTGGGTGGAGCTACAGAACCAGCAGAGATTCTCCAATGCTGGGAGAGGAGCCGCAAGCTTAGAGGGCCTGATGCAGACAAGCCTGGGGCTGCATCCAACCCCTGGACCTTAGATTCCCCACTCCTGGCCTACAGGCTCTGGGCAGGTCACTTAGCTTCTCCATCTGCAAAATGGGGGTATGCTCTCAATGCTCGTGATGCTCATTTTTCAACAGCACTTCAATAAAAGGAACTATTGTAGTATTAATTCTCTTAACTTATAAGTAGAACCAATCTAAATGTTCCACTTCACGTACAATAGACAAACAGGAAAGTATACAGAAACAATAACACATTGATTGTGTGATAGCCAGATAGTCCCTTTATAAAGGGACTGACTCCCTTAAGCCAGCAATACTATATTTAGTGCTGGGTCAATGTCATTTTTGCAAATCTTTTACTTTAAGTATGAACTTTAAAGCCCTGAAGAGATGGTGTTTCAAGCCAGATAAATGGTAATACCCATCCAGCAGCAATTCAAGGGCTTACAGGACATTAATATCAGTTCAGTATCTACAGGTATCTATTACAATCAAACTCACTGAATGTTTCAGTCAATAGTTCAAGGACTGAATAAGCACAAAGACCAAAATAACATTCTCACTCAAAGGAGCCTAAAAGACAGTCTTTTAAAGACATCTTTTTATTCAAACGCAGTGTTCATACTTCTCAAGATGCTTAACACTTTACTTCCTGTTCACACTGGCCAGTAAACTTATAGTCATTGTAAAAATTAAAAATGACCAACAATTGCTAAAGTAGTATACACTAGCTATGTTAAGTAATGTTTAATTAGCTAACTGAATAGTCAATGGAATTTCTATTGACTACTCGATTAGTTGATAAGGAGGGCACACGCTACCCATGCTGCAGCTCTGCAGTTTAAATGTAGTAGGAGCCAGGCTTGTAGGCAGCCCAGCTCCTATACCAGGGCTACTCAACAAGCAGCTCGCAGCGCATTTGTTTGTGGCCCACGGTGCAGTTTGGGTTTACATGAGGCTCAATATGCGGCCCACGAGTGGGGTCTTTCACGCATGGCCTCCACTGGGAGCACGCTCCATAATGACAAGTCAATATAATGTTCTTCTGTTGTAATGAGCAATGACAGTCCAGGAATTTAACTACTAAAATGCATTTCAAGTGCTGTTATGGGTGGAAATCAGGTAAATATTGCATTTTATTATTATCAGCAGAACTGACTTAAATGGGGCTTGTGTGTTGTGTAGTCTTGCCTTAGTCTTTGTATTCATGACCATCAGTGTGAAAGATGCTATTTGCATATATATTTGCACGTATATGCAATCACATTTAAGTTGAGGCTCTCAGCATGTGCTGAGAGTATCATTGTGGTCCCCGGGGCTTCCAAAGTTGAGTAGCCCTGTCCTACACTTAAAATGCAGAGCTGCAGTGAGGGTAGCTCAAGATTCGCATCTGCTCCAGGACTGCTGCACCTCTGCCTTTTAAATGTAGTAAGAGCCACCTGAAGTAGTCCCAACTTGCATTGGGTTCTTCACTGTGCCTCCCTCCCCACCGCCCCTGAGACTGTGCCAGGGGGACCAACGCTGATACAGAGGTAACAAGGTGTGGGATGGAAACAACTAATCAAGCAGTGACTCGCCTAGTCACTTACATTCCTAGTACACACAGTAGGGATGTTAGATATCAGATAATTGAATAGCTGCATAACTATATGTAATCTTAGTGGTTACACCACTATATGATAGTTCCCAGAAGTGGGACTGGCAGCCAGTGCTCTCCCAGCCCCACTCCCAGGGAGCCCTCAGACTACCCCACACTGCCTCTATCAGAGGTAGCAGCGTGAGGTGATAGCAGCCCCTGTCCAAAGCAGATATGAGCTCCCCACAGACAGAGGCTGCTCCATGGGATGTGGAGCAGCCTCTGACAGTGGTGAGCTCGGACCCTCAATGGGCAGGGGCTGCTGCCACAAAGCAGCCGCTGCCCACAGCAAGCCAAGGCTCACCGCAGACAGAGGCTGCTCCGTGGGATACAAAGCATCCTCTATCCACAGGGCTTGCCTTCAACAGAGGCTGCTTCATGGCAGCCTCTCCTGCTGTCCCTTCTAACAGAAGCAGGAGCATGGGACGGGGGGCAGGTGGTACCACAGAGCCAGTGCTAGGGGGAACTAGATTTTAAGCCAACTCTCCCCAGCACCAGCTCTCCTCTTTGCTGTCTCGGATACTGAGGCAGCAAGGGGGGGGGGGGGAAATGCATGTAGTCAACAAGATTAACAGATAAGCCTAGGCTTATCAATTAATCGTATAGTCACCTACACATTGATATCCCTAATACTCAGCAATTACTTCAATACAATAAAAAAAATCCTGAAAATATCTGTCAAATCAATTTTAAATGCTACTTGCAGGAACTAGTGTTTCAGTTTGTAAACAAAATATGGACAAATACACACACCCTTCAGTTACTTATGTTTTGTCAGAATCAGAAGATTGCTTAACTGATAATGAAGTCAATGTTCAAGCCTAATTACTCTGACAAATCATAACACTCCTGAAGTATAGAAAATAAAGATCTTTCTTCACTGATACTGGACCTGGCATAAATGGAGCCAGGAATTATTACAAAAGTATAGACTACCTAACTTAAGAGAAATTCAACATACTACATGAATGTACATGAACATGAATGTTCAAGTCCATTCATTTGTTCTGTATGCTTTCCATTTTTTACCATTACTGTAGAAAAAAAATTACCTGAAGCTCAAACAGTCCATATAGTAATAGAGATGTAGCTGTGTTTACTAACAGCAGATATTTTCTTTACAACAGACCATTACCCCAACAAGGACATCATTATTGTTACTACCACCCTATTCTCTTTGTTATCGGTTACATTAATTTATTTCTTCTCCTGTCAGTGCTCCTTGCAAGTACTTTTAAAGGTCATCTGCAAATATGGCTGCAAATATGAGGTATTGTTTTAACAGATCAAATTATCACATTCAGAATAGAAAGGCACTGGAGAGTCAAACCCCGAAGACATTATCTTATAGAAACAACTACTCAATTAAACAATTTTCTAGATATAGGTCTCTACATTGAACCTTCATATTAGCAGTCTATTTTGTAGTGAAATACATAAAACGGGCAAATTCAGCAGCTACAGGGTCAGTAAACTAAAGACCAAGCAAAATGGAAACCTAGAGTTGCATGACTATGCAACATATATAAGTTACTTTGCTTGTTACATGAAATACACGTTTTCCTTTCAAGTGTGCAAAATATGAAGAAATACATGAAGTACTTTTGGCTAATAAAAACATTAATTCCTCAGGTTAACATACAGAAAAAAATCGCATAATAAAAAAAAATGAAAGGAGAAATTGCATCAAGACAAAAACCCATCTCTGACTCAAATGAATTAAACTGCTAAATGGATAGAAGAGGTATAAATCCAAAAAGAGGCCTGTGAAAGTTTAAGCTAGACAGATACTGGATACACCTTACTTCTTTCTAAAAGATACTCTGTTGCTTGCTCTCACAGCTGGCAGCACTTGTTAGTCTGTTGTAACAATACAGATAGTGAATATGAATGTGATTTTAACAAGCAAAGAGCGAACATATTCCTCACACATGGGCCAAAAGAAATAGTACCACATTAACCATTATACACTTTGCACCACTGACACGTTCAAAAACTAGTGTAGTTATAACGGCAACTATCTGACATGATTAAATCATCAACTCATACAGACCAAGAGAACTCTTGAGTTTTTAAACTACCAGCATACAGGGGGGTTAGCCAGTGTAGCTATGTGAACAAGGGCCTACCACCTCCCAAAAATCACTTAAAGGCATAAACCATACACCTGCCAAGAGTGTGTTATCGGGCCCATTTTACAGACAGGAAGGGGCACACCAGGCACTCAACATCAGAGAAGTGCTCCAAGGCATTCTGAGCGCCTGGGAACACACAATCAAACCCAGACCTCCCAAGTCACAGCCCGGTGCCTTGACCTCACAGCATTCTTCGGACGCGGGCTGCAGGGACAGCAGAGCAGCCTGCGCAGGGAAGAGGCCAGACCCACCTATTGCCACCCGCAAGCACCTCTCGCAGCTTGGCTGAGGCCGAGCCACACCCC